CATAGTTACTGCCTTGTTGCTTTGTAGGGCAGAATATGTAAACATTAAATGTTTCATTTTTATAATTTATATTTATTTGCTTCAAATATAATACTTAATGTAGTATTTAATAATAAAGTTGTTAATTTAGCCTTTAACAGTACAGTTCATGTTTGTTTATGTATATTTGCTCCAAATATCTATTTATTAAATGTAATGTGTAACAATAACAATGTTCTTTTAGACGTGGCACTGGAGCGTTTAAGTCGAAAGCAGGGTTGCCTGTGGAGACTCCGGTGATCAATAGTAAGTACGGCCTCAGAGAGACAGACAAGCGTCTGAACAGACTAAAGAAGCTGGGGGAAAGTTGCAGGAACTCTGACAGCCAGTCAGTCAGCTCCAATGCAGATGCAGACTCTCAGGAACCAACCACTGTACAAACATGTGAGAGACCTGTAACCCTAGACGTTTGATACTAATAATGCTGTTAGAGCCAATGCTCATCAGATCTCTTCTCTTCCTTTCATGTTTCTCCAGCATTACGTAAGAGGACCTCGCAGTCCTGTGTCAAAAAACACGGAGAAGCAAAGGCTGTAACCAGGCAAACTCTGTCAAACACTCCTTCTTCTACCTCATCCTCAAAACGAAGTCAAACGAATATTTCAAGTTTACCAAAGAGACTTAAGTCGAAGCCCACACAGCCTTTGTCTAAAGGAAGACGACGGTGTCGAGGCGCATGGACAAAAGCCTCTAGTCGAGTGAACGCTAGTGGGAATCTCAAGGAGACCTCCAGACGAGACGCCGACAGACGTAGTTCTGGAGGCAAAGGCAGTGTAGCACGATCATCAGAAAACAATCAGAGCTCTTCGAAGGGTGCTTCCCTGTGCAAGGACAGCATACTTTGCCCTTACAGAACTCGTAGGTCCACGAGGACCTCTCTCGATGCACAGGGGTCTGACGGCACGCAGGCATCCAGCCAGCCGTTTAGCCCGGGTGTAGCCTTCAAGTCGGAACCTGAAGAGCTCATCCCTGTGACACCTGCGCACCAGATGAACACCCCTAGTTTGGAGACCAGCTGTCCCAAGAAAGGGACGTGTCCTAGGCGCAGGAGGTCGGTGAAACAGGAAGACGCCGGCTCCTATGGCGAGTCCTTCCTCCAGGAGGGCGTACCTGACCTGCGGCACGCGGTTCGGGCTGCAGACATAGCAGACCGTGGGAAGGTAGTGCTCGGCCTGCCGGACCGCCACCAGCACTACAACGGCTCGGCAAAAAGCAGCAAGGCTCTCCGCCGGGGCAAGGGCAAGAAGAAGCGGCAGATCACGCGTTACGACGCTCAGCTGATTCTGCAGAACAACTCAGGCATCCCCAAGATAACACTACGCCGGCGTCGAGACAGCAGCAGCAGTAAGAACGAGGCCAGGGAGAGCAACTCTTCGAGCTCCTCCAAAATCAGCATCAAGTTCAGCAAAGAGCACGAGAAGGACCGGAGCAGCTCGTACGTGGCCAAACTGAACAACGGCTACAGCCACGGCTCCCACAGCAGCTCCACCAAGCTCAAGATCCAACTGAAGCGGGAGGAAGACGGCACCGGTTTGCATCGCGCTTACCCGGAGGACGTCACCTTGGGCATCGTGAAGCGAGAAGCGGGGGATGTTTTGGATCACAAGGCGGCCGCTCAGGTAGGTCAGGACATGGAAGTGGAATCGCTGTCCTCCGAGGACGAGGAAGAGGACTACTTTGATAACGAGGATGATTTCATCCCACTCCCACCAGCAAAACGCCTGCGTCTCATCGTGGGCAAAGATTCCATAGACATTGACATTTCCTCCAGACGACGGGAAGATCAGTCTCTCAGACTCAATGCATAAGCTGTGTAAATATCCATTGTCTCAATCATGTTCATTTTGAACATAGGTAATTTAAATAGAAAATGCAAAATGTACAATTAAATCATGGCAAACTATCTTTCTTTACATTTTAGTGACGGCACTTCTTCTTCTTTTTTTTTTCCTCACAATGATTATAAATATTGTAGAAAGTGTACAGGTTATGTATAAATTCTATCCATGTCTGAGAATGTGCATATGTTTGTTAGCATTTTGTCCAGCTTAACTGTTTTATTCCATCAACCCTTTGGCTTTGTTTGCGAGACGTTGATCCACTTGGGAAACGTATGCATGGTTTCACCTCAAAAGGTTGACACTTGATGTTTCAACAACAGTGTTCCCATGCACAAGAATCATGTCTGTCTGTCTCTCTCTCCTCAATTTGATCTGGCTAAAGGGAATCGTTGAGCAAACAATGTGCAGAGGAGCTCAAATTTATACAGATCTCTCCGCTTTTTTTGTATCAAAATCCTTTTTATCATGTGTCAGATTTTTTGGCCATGGAAGGCCGTGGTGCTCATTGTGGTGGCCTGGTGCTGGTCCATTAAGATATTGGACTATTGAATAATTATTCTGTGAACGTCAGACCCTTTTTGTGTGACCTTGGAAGTCCATAGAGAGGCGTGCCTACGGATAAAAGTCTGCAAGAGATGAGTTGTACTGAAACGTCATTAATCAAGAATCTGTTTTACTGAGTCATGCTCATTGTGGTATTCAGTACATCTAATTGACTTTGTGGCTTTGTGTGCATTTTGTGCTCTGCCGAAAAATGATAAAAATGGACAAAAAAATATGCTATGGTATTCAAAGCTGTTGTTTGTGTTTCCATTGTTGACCCTAAGTAGGCAGCTGCCATAATAGGCTATTTTTATTTGTTCCTTATTTTTTTCCCCTATCTTTTTTTTTTTTCATTATATACTTTACATTCTGTAGTGTCAAAAGTCTGCCATCTGTGGGCTAAAAGGAGCTTCTTATCCTAATGATCACAAAACTCCTATGGTCTCAAGCTTACAAACTGACTCTTAAAAGCATCATGACAGTAACAATGTAGGATGTATACATAATCTGGGGGCATACTGTTCACTCTGTATATTCTGGGACTCGTTTTTATTTAACTGTTTTAAGTACTTGAAAACTATAAAACTCATTTTCAAGATATATTATTGTCTTATGTCATTATTAGATGTATTATAATGATCATAGTTAGGGGGCTGTTCGTTTTCTTATTCCTCTTCCCAAAGTTATAACTTATAACACTTTGATCTAGAAAATTTAAACAACTTATCATACTGGTCACATTCATTACAGTTGGCTAGCGGCCATTTTGAAAAGTACAATATTCAGTTTATTCCTGTCTATGGTTTATTCGCTACACCTTCAAATGTTGTTCAGTTCTTACGAAAATGAGTTAAGGGAAAAACTATATGGACCAAGCCGCACAGAAATGACTTAACTTATTTTGTTTATTCCTCTTTGTCGAACGTTATTATGATGTCGTGAATTTAACAAGGTCGAACAAAATTGTTTGTCTGTCGGCCAAGCCATGCCAAATTCGCGAACAGCGCCACCTACAGGTCATAATGCTATTTATGCTCATAACTTTTGAACAGTTTGTCAGAAAAGCATTCATTGCTTTTTCAAGCTATACTTTCTTTTTATTTCCATCTTGCTGATTCACATTCAGGGGTCGGTAACAGTTGCATAAACTGCTTAGACTCTAACAAGTTCATCTATTTTTTTCTTTAAGATTGTTTATGATTTTTTTCAGTCAGTTATATCAAAACATATTTGATATCAAAAAGTAACTTAAACTTAAGTTTAACTTACCCCTAACTAACTGCTTAGTTGGTCGGACTTTTTAAAGGGCTATTTCTTGAAGGGACAGTTCACCCATGAAATATATTTCTCACCCTCATGCCATTTTGTAAATTCAATCTGTTCATCATATAAAGTGATCGCGCTCAGTTAATATGAACTCTTTATGAACTGTTTGAAGCATCAAAGTTGTAGCTGGTAGCTGTTAATTGATGAATAGAAATCTCTCAGACTTCATTAACGATGTTTTATTTGTTTTCTGATGATGAACGGGTTTGGAACGACATGAGGGTGAGTAAATGATGCCAACATTTTATTTTGGGTGAACTATCCCTTTACGTAATTCGAATGCTCAACGTTACCGTTTAGCTAGCTGTTGTCTTGTTTCCAATCATTTCCAATCAAATGTTGTTGTGTTCATGATTCATACTTTCCCGTCAAGGTCATGTGACTACAGAGGACCGCTGTCCGAACTCTACTCTGTACTATACTAGAACTCACTCACTGCACATGGTTTACAATTTTAGACACGAGACGTGCGGAAAGTCACGTCTGAACCGCATTCCAACCCTCCCTTTGGTCCTAACCCATAAGGAGAAATCAGAAAGGTATACATTACGCTTCATAAGTACTGCATTAAGACCAATTTTAAGAAGATCGATGTTATTATGTAGGCTACATGAGTTATCCTACAAAACGGGTAGCTACAATTTGTGTCCTTCATTTAATTACATTTTAATTTGAGGACTAATGAGCTGATGCAAAAAAAAAAAAAAAAAATGTTTGTCTATTTCTTTCATCAATGGAATTTTTAATAAGCTATGAAAATTAAAGCTAGTATAGGCATATTATTATATTATTATTTTGTGTACCTGACAGAAAGTATGATTGAGGTTGTGGCTATGTTATTCTGTTATTACGTAAACAAAACATAAACCCTTTGTCTAATGACAAAATTTTAAGAAAAATATCCAATGACAAGTGAATATCTCATCCATAACTTAATTCACTTAATATTATGTTTATCAGCATTACATTTATTTTTAATTAGCATGGAACGTCAAATTAATCTGTGAAATTGACAACCTTGTTATTCAACTATAATTATAGTTTGATTGGCTAAATGTAATAACAGAATGATCCACCTTTAATTCATACATGAAAGCTGTAATAGTAATCTCTGCATTTCTCAGGCATTGTTTACTATTGTCATAGCTCGAGCTTGGAATGAAGGGGACGTGACTCTGTTGTCCAATCAAAGAGCAGAATGGGTGTGGTCGGATGACGTGAGGTCAACCCCCTCGACTTCAACATACTGCGCACGAATCAACGCGTCTGACGCAGAGTATTCTTCAGCATCGTGGGTACAGTTATACAGTATCAATTGGTCCCATTAAATCTGCGTTTAAAACATCTGAAAGCTATAAAACTGCTCGGACAGTCAGCGATTTAATTTATTGCTTGCAGGTTTTGATTATTTACGTTGATACCAGTAACCAACAGACAGCAAATATGAAGACAAAATTCATAAATGGCGTGTCTTCTTCGCCTTCTATGTCTCTGGTTTTATTGGTAAATGATAATGTCCTCGAAGTCCAGCCAGAGAGTGGGGACGAATGCAAAGACATTATTCGACCGGACGAGCCCGACCACCAGACGAAGCTGAAGGCGTATCTGTGGTGTAAAGAATTCCTTCACGGAGCCTGGAAATGCATAGATGAGTGTGATTTCCAAATCTCCATCATCAGGTATTCTGCGTTGCGCGACTAGATCAGAAACAGATCAAAATGAACATTTTCCCCCACCACTGAAATGGATGTATAATATTTTAGGAAGGGTAACAGTTATTTATAATAGTGGGGTTTTTTTTTTATTTTTTTTATTTTTTTGCTGCAGTAGTCATAATACATTTATTCATTTTTTTGAGCATAGACCTGAAAATGAAATTTCACAAAATGCACAAAAATACTTTTTTCAATTTTACGTTTAAAGATATGAAAAATGCACAAAAGTACTATTTTATTATTGTTAAAATTTTATTTTTTCTTATTATTTTTAAATATATTTTTTAATTTAGCCTATTATTCTTTTTATGAATACTATTTGTATTATTATTATTAATTTGTTTTCCAAATTTGAGCTTGATATCTTTAAAAAACGAGCTTGTTTTGTTTTTATTTTGTTTGGGCGCAGTGCCAATTGTTTCCACTAGATAATATTCGTTTGGAAGCTTGTTTCCGCCATGAAATAAACCATTAAAAAGGTAATTGCGACTTTTAATCTTATGATTTAGATTTTTTTCTTCGAATTTGACTTTATAAAGAGATAAAATTTGCAACTTCGAGAAAAAAAGTCAGAATTGGTGGAAATAAAAATTAGTTGCAAGATATAAACTCGCAATTGCTGGTTCTGAGTTTTTTTTTTTTCTTTCAAATCACGAGCTTATATCTCGCAATTCTGACTTTATTTCTCGCAATTGCTAGTTTATATCTCATAATAGGGAGCAAAAGTCGTAAACATCTTTTTTCTGTTTCACTGGAAATGTGAGATAATGGTGTTTCATTTCTTAAAATGATCTTGTATTAAGTTTGGCTCTTTTTGGTCATGAGATAATATTTAACTGCCCAATACAGCAATGTCTCCAAAGTTTCCATGAACATGGCTGTGACTCAAAACCATGTGTTACACAAGTAATATATACAGTGTAAATGAACATACAGATTGTTTTTCAAAAGTTTGCCAGTACTCTTTGTGGTATTGACTAGTTGTAAATACTCATTTATCCTGATTGATTGTGAGAATGCAGTTATTTTCTCTTCCAACATGTACATTTTTGCTTCTAGGGGAGGTCTCAGCAACAAACTGTTCCTCTGCGCTTTGCCAGAGAAGCAACCTAGCCTGGGAGATGAACCACGAAACGTGCTCCTTCGCCTATATGGACAAATTCTGCAGGTGTTTTGATAGTTTTTTACTTGGGGAAATGTGTGAATTAAGTGCCATTTTTCATAATCATCTAATAAGATGCCAAGTAGTATGTTATTGAATACATGATGTGTGTGTGTGTGTGTGTGTGTATATATATATATATATACACACACACACACTATATGTATGCATGTATTAGCATTTAAAATAATAATATCCACTCGAGTGCTTAGCAAAAGCCGTACCTGTGCCTTAAATATTTCAAACCCAAATTTTACACAATACATATTCTGTTAAATATTATATGAATGTATAGGTCAAGTTTTTTGTGTGTTTTTTTACTGTAGTAAGATGGGAAGGATATAAACTTTGCTGTTTAGTCTGAAACCAAGTATTGTCTATCTGGAATGGCAAGAATGACAAGTTAAAACAATTAAACAGCGTATTCATTTGAGTGTTAAAATGAACAAAAAATACTTTGTGCCTGTTATTTTATAGAAGTAGTGATTGTTGTGAGATTTAAAAACCTAATATTCATTAGGCAGATGGCAACCCCCCTGGATCAGAAATCTCAATTAAGAATCGCCCCCCCCCTCCTAAACAGATTTTGTATTTGTGTGTGTTCCCTCTAAATTTAAAGAGGCAGTTTTTATTGGGTGATGTACCTCCATGGCTGTACTTGCGTGTCTTCTTTGCCGTAGGCTTGCCAAAGGAGCGTGCCTTGAGCACTCTTGTTTCCAGGTGATCCCAACATACCAAACACGGTACAGTATGCGATCCCTGAAGCCACAGCATTGTCTTCAAGTTTATGCGCATCTCAATCTTTAATATCTTTGAGATCTAAGCTCACGGCGTACATTGCTCTGTCTGAAGTATTTTTCTGCCTCTATCTGCTTATTTTCAACTCTTTATTACTCCTTTGAAAAATATATAGGTGCTGGTTACATTAGCAAAGGAGTTGCAGCAGGGTATTTTAACGAATTACGCTGGCATTTCCAATTTTTAATAGTTCATGTCATACCATTATAATAATGATAACAACGTTACTTGTAAAGGGTGTGTTTTATGATTAATATTAAGAAATAGTTTAGTCAGTTTCTGTTTTCTATTTTTTTAATCTTTAGAAATAGTTGTGTATTCAAAGTAATATTTAGTAATATATATGATGAAATCATATATAACAGATATATGAATATATTTCTAAATATAATATGACTGCATTTTTAGGAAGTGACACAATGTTCCCATTAGGGTTTGGCTTTTGTTTTTATTAGTGATGAGTTGCTTTGAATCTCTGGATGTTTTTCAGTTAATTATTCAGAGTAACAGCAGTCACGAAGCTAATGATGTCATACCTGATGAGGTGTCTGTAGGTCCACAGTTCAATCCTTTGAAGCCAGGTGTTTAAAAATGAAAAGAAGCATTAGTTGGAGCCATATTACAAATTCCAGGGTGTGTGGACTTTGCTACATAGTGATTCATAAATAAATCTCTAATTTGTCACGAGTTCAGTTCATTAAGGCCTTTTATGTGAGTTAATTTTCAAACTGTGCACTGATAATAATCTGTGTTGATCTTTATTTAACTAGACACACTTTATTGCTGTCACTAGCATTCATGTTGCTGTTGGGAGATTTACATAGTGTTCATTACTATGGACACCAAACCCTCCAGATTGAGACTTTTTTTATTCTAATGGAGAATAGCATTGTGTACTAAATATTTGTGCTTGGTCTCATTGGAACATGGCTTTGATCATTGCAGTTATGACAGAGGTTTTTTTAAATATATATATGTGGTTGTCATGAAAAAAAGCATTGGGTCAGGAGGATATCCTAGTCAAGCCTTTTGTTCAACAGGCCATACATTTCTAGCTATCAACCCTTTCTAACACGCTGTTCTTTTTATCACAAAGTTAATCACAAACTTTCTTAATGTGCTGCCAAAGACATGGATTTATAGTTTATAGTGGGTGACTGTTGCTTAAGGATAAAATGTTGCTACTCAATGAAGATGTCACATAAAACACTTTGTGCTTATGGACAGTCTTTTGCTTTTTCTCTTATTGCTAGATGTCCTGTAATAAAGGGGATTGCAGACAGTCAAACACAGAAAATCACTTTCAAGTAAGTAACATTGGCAAAGGTCTTTTTCTACTGTTTGTATGTGAGCAGAATGTGACTTATTGACTTGGATGTCTAAAAGGGTGTCTTTTGGAGACACACATTGTCTTTATTACTTCTCATCTGACATGTTCTTATTGAGATTATATGCCCAATAAGAGCCCGAATTCATAAAAGCATTTTAGTGAAACTGCTGTTATGTTTACCTCCCAATATCCCATCATCTTCAAAGGCCAAGGGACAAGATATTTGGGTCATCAGAGATGTTTTGTTTGGGCCTGTCGCTTGTGATTTCAAACTTTTAGGTCAAATTCTTCCATGAGTTTCATTCTCGTATTTCAGTGGACTGTCTTCACTCTTCAGTGAAAATTTTGTCACTTGAGGACCCATCTTAAAGGGATAGTTCACCCAAAAATGACAATTCTGTCATTATTTACTCACCCTCAAGTTGTTGTATGAATTTCTTTCTGTAGCTGAACACAAAATAAGATATTTTGAAGAATTCTGGTGGGTGCACAAACTTTGCTTCTATCTAGGATGCAAGTATAGTTTTGTGTCTATTTTCTTGGTGTTATTGTTAATGCAGAGATGGACTTCCTCTCACTGACTATTCATAACACCTGCATGTAGATACTGTCCTTGTGCTGGTGTGAACTGATCTGCTTCAGTAATCCAGTGATTATGCCTTGTGTATTAACAGGCACTGGAAAAACCCAAGCAGCTGCTCAGCAGTCACATGGCCTTTTCTTTGTCAGATAAAAGGGTAGGGAGGGAGAGAGAGACTATGTTCGAAAACATAAATTATTTTCGAAAAATGCTAGCTTTGCTGGCAGTTTATGAAGGTAGGCAGGCTAGGCATGCATTTATATACCACATTTTGGCTACGTCTGCATTAATCGTGATATATTTTTTAAAGGTGCATTGTGCAAGTCTCTGAGTTTTTGCAGAACTATGCCCCCTCTGGCGACAAGCGAAACTGCAACCAGAGGTGTGTACTCTCATGGACCACACACGTATACTTGCCACAAATTTTTTGTTTCAGTCATAATGTCTTTTAGTGGTAATAAAGTTATAAATCTGCAAGGCATTTTAAATATATGAAAGGAAAGCCATTTGAGTAACTCACCCAGTTGTCCACGTCTGTCGCCATGGTTACTATTGCAGTACGACGTCAAACCTGGCGGAAACTGGGGGGTATGACGTCATTGACTGGCGACTCCACACCCCTGCTCACACGCCCCGTTCCTTCACACGATCTAAAAATAGATGGAAACATTTAGGATATTGTAAGTAATCAACTAAACAAAATTGGCCTAGTGGTTTTGGATATTTTACTGCAAAACTCCTGCATATTGTACCTTTAAGGGTAAAGCGCTTTTCACAATACACATCCTTTCAAAGCAGCTTTTCAGAAAATGCATGAGTCCACATTAAAAGAGTGATCTGTTATCAGAGATTATTGTCATGTATTTCAGAAATGTACATATACAAATCACAGTTAGCTAAAAATGTACTAATTTAAACAATGGAATAATTTAAGGCAGAAACAATGAGCTCATTTAAGTAATGAATACTTGTTTGTTAACAAATGATTATGATTAAGGGATCTATATTCAGCAGAACTGGCCCTAGAGGGCAAAATTGAATGAATCACATCACCTTGTAGTTTCTAGAAAACCTGTGTAAAACCTGTTTCTGTAGATGGCATTTTCATGTTAATGTGCTGTCTGTTAACCTTTGACTGACTTGGCAACAGACCAAAACTAGAACAAATTTGGACATGGACATGACAAGAGCATGAATCATTGTTGCATACCGGTAGTGTTGTATGGGAAATATGATTAGAATTAGAAAACCTGTTTGATTCTCTCAATCATTCATGCTTTCAAGCCAGAGATGGTTTCCTTTGAGGAAGTTTAGTTTCCTTCCACATTTTTCCCATTAGAATTGTCCTCCAATAGTGTCCTGTTTAATTTCTGAGAGAACGGGATGTTTTAAAAACAAAATAAACCTGCAGAACAGTTGATATTCCCTCAGCAGGTTTGTTGCGCAAGTGTGTGCAGTGCTTTTACCTCCTAGATAAAAGACGTTCTGAAACTCATTCCTCCAAGTAGCCATTTGTTGTAACATCCAACATGACATCATGACTTTTGCGTAAACATACACGCCACTTTCGAGTCAGGTGGCGTGTTCTCTACGCATTTTGAGCTATCCGTGTGTATCCGCGTGTATGCGTGTATGTCTACGCCATTAACGTCCGCGTCATTCCGCGTGTCTGTACACGCAGTCAAATCTCCAGTTATAAAATGCCATTAACCCCAGTGACGGTTAAGTTTAGGGATGGGGTTGAGGTAAGTCATATCTTTTTTTTACCTAGGATGGTAAGGGAACAGTCATAAATGCCATTAACCCCAGTGACGGTTAGGTTTAGGGACGGGGTTGAGGTAAGTCATATATTTATATAACGTTAAGTCAACGGCGTTCATACACACGCTGAAAGGCGATTATGCGTCTTGATAGCACGCCAAAAATGGAAATACGAATTGGCGTGGCATACACACGCTACTTCATGAGATCAGTCTGTAACATCACACATTCAAGTTGGAGACATGACAAGGAATTATACTGTTAATCTGAATTTGAAATGATGAAAAATATTAATTTCTACAACTTATTTATTCATGGTATCCCAACTAAAAATAAAGCAAACCTTCAAATTTGAATGATTAACCCCATTCGCTACAGACTTGCTTTCCACTCTCTATATAGATTAACATACAGATATTATACTGTCTATTTTAGATCAGTGTTTCCAGCATGTTTCAAATGGATATAGCTTTTCCAACTTCACAACGTACATCATCTATAATTACGAGTCTCCCACTTGTAGGAATGACAGAGACATGCTTGAAATTCGTAACAACGATATTTACGATGGTTTGCCACAGTATTGACTGTGATCTTAAAGGCACTGAAAGGCCTTGAAACCATAGACAGTAAAAGAAATAAACTTCAATGGAGTTGGCTGAGCTTACTGCGCAGACTTAAACTGAGCTTGATGACGTAGATGTGACGTGAGCAACCTGTCTCACAGTTGTACGTCTTCTAGTAGCTGTGCCAAGAGGAATCTGAATCATTCCCTTCCGAATCTTACAGAGACAGATAGCGTGAGCTGTCCACGAGCTAGCAGCAGGATCAGAGGATCAGCTTTATGACTCTCTATGGGCTTCTCCCTTGACTTTATCGGATGTTTTGCCTCCACATCCTACCGATTTCCCACAAGCTTCTCTTCCTGTCTATACAGTAATTCGCTAGCTTATAAATCGTTAGCTTATTTGTACAAAAACTGCTTCTTCGGAGCCATAGAGTAAGATACAAGGTAATGGAGTCTTTTATACATTGTTGTGTTTCTTTAGAAATAAACAATGGACAAATGGAGTCTTTAAACGCCTCAGATGTAAAGTTATTTGCTGTGACGCCAAAATGAATAGGAGTCAATGGAATGCTAACAAGCGGGTAAAGGCTTGCCAATGCCGGCCCCCAGGGAGGCTTTAGTTTCCGGCTGGTGGATTACTCCCTTGCTTGAAACGTGCAGCTTTGTATGATGCGTTGACGTCATTTCCACTGAAACATGAAGCTAAGGCGGGGCACATTGAATGCCTTCTCCACCTTTTCGAAAAGCCAATAGCGTTTAGTTTACCTCACAGACTGCGAGTCATACTTGACAGCACCATGGAAACAGCATGGAGCGCATGTATGTTGGATTCAATAGTAACGTTAGAGGTTAGAATACGTTCTAGCCATTTCATTCTGAAAACGCAATTTGCGTTTGATCAACCGAACACACATCTCCAACCAATAATGGCGTGACAGCAGTAGTGATGTCCGGTTTGTGAACGAATCGTTCTTTTGAACCGGTTCTTTTTTTGTGAACCGGTCAAACCAGTTCAGAATCAAATCGTTCAGAACTTAGCGCTAATTCAGTTTTCTAAAGTTACTTGCATTCAGAAGTGCCTGACAGTCACTCCGACTCGAAATAAACAATATCCCGGAGTATATGTTACTCCAGTAACTCCGACAGTTCACTGATGGAACTGATGACACTGAGCATGTGTGTACTACTGAACGCACAGTCAGGTACAGCCACGGTCGCTTTGGCTTGGTGATATTTATAGCATAGGGGGCAGGATGCTTCAGATTCTACAGAGCATTTGATTGGACAGAAGATGTGATGAGAAGCTGAAGACCACGGTGATGTCATAAAAATCTGTGATCCATTTTAGCGGAAATGAGAGACTGTAAATTTTGAATTCTTATATCTCCTAAATGCGAATTTTGCATTGTCATAAGACAAATACATCAGTGGTTACAGTGAATTCTCAAGAAATTCCCAAACATTTCAATTATTCATGTTTGCAATTTCAAATGTTTGCTCTACCAGATGTTTAGATGACTTCCAATTGGGATTAGTTCAAAGTACAGCACTCAATTACTTATAACTAGTGAATATATAATCTCTCCACAATCTAATTTTAGATGATATGTAATAGGAAGGAAAGAATAAAAGCAGAAGTATAGAACGTTTAAAAATCAAAACACCTTACGTAAGTACTTTCCCCACATAGGAAGGCAGCTCTTTCGCTTCTGTGTATTAACACTTGGCAAAGCCTTGTCCAAAAAAACAAGCTTAATGTCATTGCTAGTTAAGCAGCCACAATTAATGACTGGGATGTTTGGCAAGTTCTGCCTTGCTCAGCACAATTGCCTCTTGTTTTGTTTTTTTTCTCATTTAACTCACTTTGCCCAGCACTGCCATTGAATTTGTTTTTGACAATCACAGCAGTTACAAAATGACTGGCTTGTAGACAAAATTGACAGAATTCCTCGTCCGTAATAGCATCACAGTTTTGGATTAAGTTAACTTCAGCTGAACTCCTCTTTCAGGAATTGAGGACCCAATCAAGCTAAACTAAGCACTTTTTCAAGGTTGTCTTCGTGTTTTTTTTTGACGTTTTGGAGGTTGATTCAGCTTGTGTCTGAACAGTATCCGTATGTTTTTGTGTTTGCAGGGAGCTGATGCCATGGTACTGGAGAGTGTGATGTTTGCTATCCTGGCCGAGAGGGAGCTTGGGCCCAAGCTCTATGGCATCTTTCCACAGGGAAGACTGGAACAGTTTGTCCCAGTGAGTCTTAAAGTTTGCTCTTATGATAAATTACATTAAAATTTTTTTTAAAAAACTGGCTGTGAAACACAATACACAACTTGATTTGACACTAATAGTTATAAATCCTTTTCTTGCTAATTGAATTGTAAGATAAACCACATGACTTTCTTGGCAAATGCGCCTGTGTCACATTTTCCATTGCTCTGAAAGATGTTCCAGGCTTTTAAATACACACGAACTTGTGTTTTACCTTTTTGGTTTGCATTTGTTTCTGTTTTAGTCAGCAAAACGCAAACTGACATTGCAATATGTTTGTCTGCAGAGTCGAAAACTGTCCACAGATGAGCTGAGTGTCCCTGGTATAAGTGCTGAGATTGCTGAAAAGATCGCCAGGTTTCATGGAATGAGAATGCCCTTCAACAAGGAGCCAAAGTGGCTGTTTGGCACAATGGACAAGTGCGTGATAATAAAAACGTTTGTTTTAAATTCTTACCAATGTTCATGGCGGGTAAGGATCTACATCCTCCTTACTGTCAGGTTGACCGGATTTAACTTCATTCTAGCGAAATTCAGTCTAAATCTCAACAGACTAAAATATCATTTATGTTAACCAAAGAGAATGAAACCAAAAAAAGGTGAAACAAAACGTTTTTGCTTTCTGTTTCATGCTTTCTTGAAAACCCCATAATCTTTAGTATATCTACTGGGACCTAAACAGCATTTATCAACTAATCATATACAGTTACATTTATGTATATAGCTCTTCATACAATACTGATAGTTTCTAAGCATTTTGTCAAATGCGTCAATTAAAGCAGCTCTACAGAAGACTATTATTCAGCTCAATTTAGTTCAGTGTTTCAATTCACTTCAATAACTGTCAAAATGGCAAAGTTAATCAATCAAGAAGGCAATAGTGTCATTATTAAGCTTGATCCGGCTCAATCTTCTCATCCGATAGAAATCATGTCGTTAAATCAGTAATATTAATTGTCATTTTATTACTATATGGATTTTTTTTAAAGAGTTTGTTTTCGCCTGCAAACATTAATATTTTTGTTGATTGTCAACTGCAATCTTTTTGTACTTGCATTATCTGCACAGGTACATGGATCAAGTGCTCCAGCTCACCTTCACCAGGGAACACCATCTGCGGAATTTCTCCCGCCTTATGAGCTTCAACTTGCCTCAAGAGATGGACAGTCTCAAGTAAGATCTCGATTATCTATATTATTCAGTACAGCTGTGATTTCACTTCTAATTTAGAGGAATTATCTTCTCGTCATACACTTCTAGTACTGTTTCATTGACCAGCTTTGTCAGAACCCCTGGAAACTGTTCACACTTTAAGAGATATGAGAGTGACTGATAGCAAGATGAAAGCAAGTAAAAGGTGTTTGTTTGCTGCTCAATATTGATTGACGTATTTGTATGCTTACTTAATCGGCTGTTTGTGAACACAGGTGTCTACTAGAATCTACTCCCTCTCCTGTGGTTTTCTGCCACAATGACTTGCAAGAAGGTTAGACAGGTTTACTGTGATTATTTCATTTTTGTTTCTAAAAATGTACTTTAGTTACTTTTCAATGTTTGATCAAATAGTTTTAAGAGTACTGCCATGTTTTAAACAGGAAACATCTTGCTCCTGAGTGGCCGTGAGAAAGCAGACAGACAGAGGCTCTTGCTGATCGACTTTGAATACAGCAGCTACAACTACAGGTCTGTACTGTGTAGTTACATTCATCCCACACGCGATTCCTCACGTGCTTCATCATGTAGCTAAACTCCAATTTGATTGGAATCTTTTACCTGACCTCCAACATCTTTGTAGCTGATTTAAAGAACTGGCTGTTTTTCTTTGTTGTTCAAGACCACTCAGTTGTTTCTGATGAGCTTGGAATGCTTAGGGTGCCCCATTTCTGAGAAGGGACCTCCAGACGTTGAAGGCTCTGGCAAAACACAGTTGCTAGGGTACTTGCATTCTTGCACGTGCTCAAACACTGGCCTCACTGAGGCAATCCTCTAAACTGCTCTGTAACACGTTTTTTTTTTTTTTTTTTTTGGTAACAGTTTTATTCGAAAAAGGGTCCTATATTGGCAAAGATCACTGTTCCAGTGGTGGATGGCATGGGTCAAGTCATGTTTTGTTTGTTTTCCCATCTTGCCATCCAATGTGGTCCCCTACGGCATAAGTGACTCACATTGACAGTGTTTGTTCAGCAAAGCGGTAGGAAATTAAGCCTGGCTTCACAGCCACAGAAATGTGTGCTTTGTTTAGTTTCCACAGCAGATGTGAGCCTCTTCACAAAGAGCCGCACAGTCTTTCTTACAAATTAATCTCCTTCAGTTTGTGTAGTCAAATTAAGAGTCATGTTTTCTCTCTTTCTCTTTTTTGTGTGGCTTTGTTCAAGTCTGGTTGAGTACTAGTTAACTGGACCACAATACTATTTCAATCACAACACAGACTGATCTCATGAAATTGCGTGTTTATGGCACGCCAATTCGTATTTCCATTTTTGGCGTGCTATCAACACGCATAATCGCTTTTCAGCGTTACTTTACTGTATATATAAATATATGACCTACCTCAACCCCGTCCCTAAACCTACCCGTCACTGAGGTTAATAGCATTTATGAGTGTTACCCTAGGAATAAAAATAATCGCCCCCCAGATGTAGGTCTACATTTTGCTTCGTTTCGCTCGAACATTTAATGGTGCGTACATACACGCGGAATCACTCGGACATTAAAGGCGTAGATATACACGCTCAAATAGCTCAAAATGTGTATAGATAACGCAATAGATTTACGCAAAAGTCATGATGTCATGTTGCACAACAACATTTAGAAAGGTTTTAACATGTTAATGGATTTGACAATGTTAATGTATTTTGGTAAACGATATCCTTTATGCTGCTGCTACTGCAGAGAAAGTATGGACTTGCTACTGCAAATAGACACACAGATGCTTCTGCATGAATGAATACACAGTAGCAAATCTAGGCAGGTGGAGCTGGGGGAGGTAGAGGATTTCAGAGGAACTTTGATTAGACGTTGCATGACCAGCAAACACTGATCCAGACTATTTAAATGTTGAACAAGCAATCTCACTGGCTGCAAAATCAGCAGGGGCCAATCAGCTTGTGCCATGTAGTGCATGACTGCATTGCTTGTAGATTGCACGTGACGTGAAGGACCTATCAGTCTGCACCATCTAGAGTTTCATAACTAATCTTGATATTTATTATCACTTGCCAAACAGCATTAGGAAAACATTAACGTTAAATGTTGCACAATATTTTTGGAGATAAGGTCTGGGGACCACCGGGGGGCCACAAGTATGTGCTAAAAGCTTTGAGTAAAATTGGAAAGAAGATTTTACACATTGCATTTTTAGGGCTTTTTAAATTTAAAGTGTTGACTTATCACTTTTATTTAACACTATTTTTGAGGAGGTTGTTGAATCAGCATGCCAGTCTTTGGCATTTGTATTCAGTAGTACATTCAATATTGTACTGAGATCAGTTATTTGCTTGATGTACTTCAAAACTGATTTATTCAATATTTATTGAAGTTGATCAGAACAGTTTCCAAATACCATGATATTCTCATGAATGTGAGAAACTACCTAACAAAACCTCCTCCACAGTTACCAATGGTCTCTTAATGATCAGGACTTGTTGTTGATGGGGTAATGATCTCCTCTCTTTCTCCCACAGAGGATTTGACATTGGAAATTTCTTCTGTGAGTGGACTTATGACTACACCAATGACAAGTTTCCATTTTTCACAGCCAACACCAAAAATTACCCCACCAAATCACAGCAGGTTTGTAAAATGTCTCTCTTAGGGTCGTTTTTTTTTCTTCTGTTCTTAAATCGGTGAATCTAAAAATTAACCATGAAAATGACTACATTTCATTTTGTTTTTCTCAGATGCTTTTCTTTCGGAGTTATCTGTTGGAATCTAATGCTGGATTTGAAAACTTAAGTGAAGAGGACCAACTGAAACTCATAGAAGATATGCTAGTGGAGGTTAACAGGTGAAATACCTACCTCAGATATGTCTTACTTGGGTATTTTTGCCATCAAATTGTAATTTTATAGATGATTGCGCAACATTCTTGTGCTTGTTGATTTTGAAATGAGGCCCATTGAATCAAAAGGCCTCAGCGGCCTCTTACTGTACTACTGTGAATATTTTAAGAGGTTTGGACCAAGTCCAGCAGTGATTCACCATATGTTCTTTCAATCTGTACTCTGTGTACTCAATGCTCTCTCATTTAGGTTTGCCCTGGCCTCCCACTTCTTCTGGGGATTGTGGTCCATGATCCAAGCCAAAATATCAACTATTGAGTTTGGGTACATGGTGAGTCATTGTAGAAAAGCTATCAAGTCTTTGTGTGTGTGTTGAGTTATTGGTAATCATGAACCAGAGAGTATATTCCATTATACACCGTGTAGCTCTTAGGTAACCCAGGAATTTTATCACAGGAGATGAGATATGAGAAGATACAGTAATTGTGATATTTGTGCTGCCTGATAACATTAGGACAGTACGCAAATATGTGTGAGGTCAGGCTAACGTAACGTGTAAACCTATTGGGCGTGTGTGTCACAGTAACGTTTTTTTATATACAACTTTACAACAACGAAAGCATAAAATGAACGATTTACAATAGGGCTATCAAAACGATTAATCGCGATTAATCGCATCCAAAATAAAAGTTTGTGTTTACATAATATATGTGGGGGCACTGTGTATAATTATTTTGTATATAAATACACACACATGCTTGTATACAGTATATTTAAGAAATATTTTCATGTATATAGATTTATATATAATTTATATGATATATAAATATAAATATTTTATATATAAATAATATTTTTTTCTTAAATATACATGCATTTGTGTGTATTTATCCATATACAAAATAATTACACACAGTGCACCCACATACATTATGTAAACACAAACTTTTATTTTGGATGCGATTAATCGCAATTAATCGTTTGACAGCCTCCAATTTACAATGAGTCTTAAATAATAATTAATTAAAAATGGGGTCAAGTTCAAGTTACTTTTTATAAACAAAAGGACACTGAGGTCCAAGATATAGTCCAAATAATGCACCCATACCTTGTTGAACTGATTTGTTATTACTATAATTTAAATGTTAAAAACTCTCTAATAGTTAAATAGTAACAGACTAAACATTTGTCTTATTTTCTTATTCAGGAATACGCCATGACCAGGTTTGATGCATACTTTGAGCTGAAAAGGAAGCTCAAGGTTTAAGGGAAAAATGCATAATTTCCCAACGGATCGAAGGAAGAGGGAACAAGCGCTCACATGGTGTCAGGAAAAGAGCGGAGCACATTTGAGATGTGTTTGAAAGAGGATGCTCTGAGTGATTCAGCTGTGCGGCATAGACCAAAATCAGTGCAACATACACATATTTAAAAAACGAAACAAAAAGGCTCTGCATGGAGTACTCCATATGCTGCTTCTCAGTGTTTACAACTTTAAGCTTCTGAGCTTTTAGATCGTTCGAGAGAAAAATAGAAGACAATAACAAGGTCACGTGCCAGAAAAAGAAAAATATTTTGTGCAGCTGCGATTTGATTCATAAGTCAAAGAATTGTGTGGTGGAAAGTTCTTCATACTAACTTAAACCTTGCGGTATTTCTTATCATCAACTAGTCATTTGCTGTAGTGTTATCTATACAACCGGTGGTAGAATGTGTGCTGTGAAAAAGAAAGGTTCAAAAACTGAACCTTTTACCAGAAAATGGTACAACAGACCAAACTATGTTGACACTGTTATTCTGACGATTCAGTATTGTGTTTCCAAGTTCTCGGTTTCCATATTATGTGACCATTTTCGTGTTCTTTTTACTGTATGATTTACCTCTTTTCTACTTGAACTTCTAGCAGATTATTTCATTTCTATTTCTAGTAGATCCGCATGATGTGAAATACCTGTGGGACCGTGCCATCTGTGTTTCTTCTTAGGAGGAGATGGTATAAATGAAATATCTATTAATGGTGTAAAACTTTATGGTTTTGATCACAGTGATCTCTTTCACCTCTTATCAGAGGTGCTTGTGTATTTTATAAGAAGAAGTGCCCAATATGAGAATACTCCCAGTTGTGTCCGATTTGAAATTAAATTAATAACTTGTAAATGTAATCTTTCCCTAAAAAAATCAATTATATTGGTTCAATTATAGTTTTGCATTGAGAACACAAGTGAAAGTTTATGAAAGTTTATTCTTGTAAAATTATTTTATGCTATAAAATAGCTTTACAACTAAACAATATTTACATAATGCACTTAATGTTTTTCATTTTACTCTGTATAACACTAAATTGTGTTTTTTTATATACTTAAAATGTGAGTATTATACATTATTGAGGCAGTCTGGCTTTTTACTAACGGTAATGCTCAAGGCACTTTTCTCAATCAGTTTTGTGAAAAAGTTTTAGTACTTGCAAGTGTAACTTTTCTATTATTTTTCTGCAATGGAAGATGTATTTTTCTTAATAAGAAAGTGTTCTCTGTCCTTACTGGTATAATGTCAGTGGACCTCTTGATCATTTTTTTTTTACTGTAATATACTGGCGATCACATATCTTAAACCATATAAAACAAAACAAAAAATGTTAATATTTATTTACATGTTACTATATAACTGGTCTTTATTAATCTATACCGATTTTTGGAACATCATTAACCATGGGAAGAAAAAAAGTGGAAGTATAGTGTTGAATGTAAATAAAAATAAAAAAATAATAATAAATGAGTAAGTCCAAGAGGAATATGAATCCTTTGTATTTTAAAATCAGGTGTTTAGACCAGCTTTACTAACTTATTCATCTGTCAACATCAATATCAAGCTTGTGATGCTTGTTCTCTCTAATTATATATTAGAAATGTGGAATAGAAAAGAAAAATGATTTACACTTCTGCTTACAAAAGATGTGACACCATTCAACAGAATGTAATGTACTTATTCATGCTTCGCATATTACTGTGAATAAAGATTTGAAAATGACTTCAATTGACATGTTCTTTTCTTTCCTCATCCCTGCCCCTAATCTCACAAAAGATGAATTAAACTGGAATTAAATTAGGTGATTAGCTGATCATGTTCCAAGTCTTGATTTACTGGTGATAATTATAAATGAGGAAAAATTATGTAATCGATCATTATTTATTAAAACTCAACCTTGATCATCAAAATGGCATATTTAAAGGTTTTCCTCGAAAATAATGTCTTTATGCATTAAAATAGCTTGAATGAACTACTACACCTATGCTTCAGTTAGGAGCATGAATCTGCAAATTGGTCTCTACCTCCATTCAATCACACCAGCAGCTCCACTGATAGCCTGATCCTCACAGTCAACTATAGTAAACGTTACACAATACCAAATGTAAATGATGGTTTGAATAAGCGATATATTTTAACCAGAAACTGATTCAGAAGAAGGACGTGCAATTTTTTTAGTAGCACTGGTAGCCTAGACTTGTTTAAAGCCACAATATGTAATTTTTCTGCTTTAAAAATAGCAAAAATAACTGTATCTATGTTATATATTTATATTAGATGTGTACTTACATTATCCCGACAGTTTCCACCAACTTTAAAATACGGAGAAATTTATAGTTTAATTCGAAGACACGGGACGTTTCTTTATTTCCGTTTCGTCGCCCGTCTATGGCGTCATATAACCTTTGACTCCTCTATTTTCTCTAACTTCCTTGCGGAACCCGGCGAAACCGCCAAACACAAAGGGGAACACTGGACTACCGCCAATAAAGCAAAGAAAATAACGAAGAAAAAAAAGTTGTACGTATTTTTATGTGTGTAAATCACGTGCCCGCTGACGAGCGCTCACTCTTAAGAGACAGACTGTCCCCGGTGCTGCTCGCGCGTCACCAGGTCGTCTCATTCAAATCAGCCAGCTGTTGCTGTTAGCGAGCCGCGCACATTGAATACTCATATGAGTCAGGCTGCGAATGTATGTGCCCGCTTCAGCGCGCTCATGCTTACTAAATAAACGCCTCACATCCGGCGCCGTGCACTCACTACATTCCCTTTAGCCTTAGCACATAGTGGATGCATAACGCAAACCCAGTCAAACGTTTGACTGCAGTATCTTATGTGCCTTATAATCCGGTGCGCTCTATATGAAAAATGTTCTAAATAGGTCATTCATTGAAGGGGCGTAATATAAATATATTCGTCTGTATTATAGTTATGGACCACGATTACGCTTTGCCTGCACGTTCTGCTGCTACAGCCAGCTCAGTAAAGCTCAAACGTACGGGTGAAAAATATGACCCGAGAAGAGTTTGGGACAGGAGAAGCATAACACAGGTAAACATTGGGGTTGCATTTAAAGCTTCTTGACAAGCTAAATCTACAGAGAGATGCCGTATATATTTTGTGAAACGATGATGTCATGTCATGAGCTGAGCTGGTTGTCATTGACAGCGACAACAACTCCCGTGAGCCCACGCTCTTTCCCGACGTCATCAAAGTACGTATTTTGTTATTATTTTAAATGAGTGACCCCTGGTGGCCAAAAATCGCATACTGTACGTTTAACTACTGCGCTCTATTACTGGTAGGTGTGGCCTCTTAGGGCAGTGATTGTTGTTGTTGTCTTTCATTCACATAAGCCAAAAATTCATTTTCTGGCTTTTCTCAGTCAAGAAAGCTCCAAATTCAAAAATAGTTTTACATTTCTTCTACATATTTGACCCATTTTAAATACACATTCATCTTTCCAGAGGTGAAGTATCCCTTTAAGGTCATTTAGGGGGCGATTTCGGACATAGCTAGTTTCTATTCTCCATCTCAGAGTAAGGCTGCTGCTGCCTTGTTCCTTCTAAAACTCAGCATCCTTAGAAATGCTTGGAGAAAAAGTTGATGGGATTGGTTACATGTTTGTGATGGTAGGAAACAGCAGCAGGTTCAAACCTTGTTTATGAGCCTTTCTTCAGTAAACTGCAGTTTTTTTAAGGAGAAAATACTCAGCAGTAGCATGACTGATGAATTTGCACGTTTTGTCGAAGTTAGAGCATACTAAAAACGCCACATAGACATATACAACATTAATAACTTCTACTTAAAACTTTAATAACACATGGCAAAAATTTGGAAAGCCAAACATTGATACATTTACACTGGTATGCATGTCAGTTTTTGATCAGAAAGCAGGTTTAGCCTGTGTTTTCAGAGGTTTTCTAAAGGTATCGATTAAAAGTAACTGTAACAGAACTCTAATAATGGCAACATTTTCTAGACGATTCTCTGCGAAGTTTCAGATTGCCATTCGTTTGATACCAGTGAACATCTAGGCATTGATCTGTACCACACATAAAAACGATGACACCACAGGGGTGTGGCGTGCCATAAATCACTTAATAATGAGTAATGCTACATGTTTTGCCCTATATGTAGCCTAATGCCAACCCTTTTAAACGTCAAAGTTCATTATTGGATTCAAGTATCAAAGTTCTGAATGAATTCATACTTTGCAGTCTCCACGGATACCTGGCGTGCAACAAACGCTGGCAATATGGCGAGTCGACAAACAGTGGCCAGCCCGGGGATTTGCTGCCTTGCAAATTTACAATTCCAATTAGACCTGTCACTCACCACAATGTTAAAATAGATATCAAGAAAAGATTAACATACTCGGAACTCCATACACAGCACCCGCTGGTGTTTTCATTGCTTTAAAGCTGGTAATAAGTCCCAGACTTGGAGTTTTTAGATATTTAACGTTAGAGAATCCGTTACTTTACACCGCACAAAAAATGAAACCATACAAAAGTAAAGATAGCTATCTTTTTTAAAAAAAGAGTGGATGGGTTAACAAACGCTGCCGTATGGGAGGTGAAAAACAGGAATATCTTCATAGTCAACGCAAATTAAGGTCCGTTTGCTCATCATGTTTGCAGCTAAGTTACACAAAGTGACATGGTGTGATATAGTCTTCATCTAAATGTACACCCTGCCTGCCTGCCGGCGAATGACAGTTTGATAAGTAACGTTAGGCCTAGTACAAAATAAAAAACGTATCCCAACTGTTATATGATATGGCTAGCAGGATGTCAAACTTTGTAGCCTACCTGCTTATCACTCCACAAAGTAGCCGTCAACCCTCCGTTTTTCTCGCGTATTCAGCCCTTTTCCAGCTGTCTTCCCGTTTTAGTATTTTCCCGTAAAAATATCCCGTATTTTTACACTCTATTTGTGTGAGATTCGGCTTGAAGTCGTTCTTCAACCTCAGATGCGGCCCCGCGCGACACAAGTGTGTTTAATAATGTCAAATTAAAAGTTCGAGGATAAAATATTTTTGTTTTGATAATCTTTTTTCGTGCTGTAATATAATGCACTTAATTCAATTCAAATGTATTTGTATAACGCTTTTCTCAATATTGTTTCAAAGCAGATGCATTTCAGAAGTGTAGGCTACATGGACAAATACATTTAGTTAATCGTGTAGCCCTACTAACTATATCGCCAGCGTGGAGTCGTCTCTTCACAGGGGCTCGATCATCGCAGGTGCTGGGGCATCTGAAGTCTCCATGAGAGGCTGGAATCTGGATAAAAATTGAAGCTGACTAGCATCCCGAGATAACAGCAGAAAAGCAAATGGGAAATAATTAGCATAGCTGCTGTTCATAATATTACTGCATTTGATCTGATTCAACAGAGGAATAAAAAAATAAGCATTATGTGAATGCTTGGCTAAAGAGATACGTCTATGATGTGATGTGATGCATTGACTAACAACTAGAGCACAAGTACTTGATTATAATTTTAACTGTACTGTCATTTGATATTATAAAGTTAATATATTTTAAATGGTATTTTAATGTAATGTAGAAATATGGTATTTTAATGTAATGTAGAAATGTGGTTGCCTATTAATTGTAGGTTTTTAAAGTACTGTGCTGCCAAATCTAGAGCGACTATAACATTGTGGTCACCAGCTAGAGTTCCCCTGAGGGAACTCCACAACAAACTATTGTCATTCCCTCACAAACTACATCTCCCACAATTATCTACCTGGACTCATCAGCACTCATTGTTTTCACCTGTGTCTCATCTTCTTGTTTACTCACCCTTTGTAAGCCTGGTTCTTTCTGCCCTTCGCTGCGAAGTCTTGTATGTTGTCTCACTGCATTTCTGAGTGTGTTTGTATCCTGTTTCTCTCTTGATTCTCTGCCTGTTCCCTTGGATTTCTCTCTTTGCCTCAGCCCTGATCTCTTTGGATTTTTTGACTGACCCTTTATCTGGATTACATTTTTACTAAAAACTGCATTTGGATTCTCAACCTTGGTTTCTCGGAGGAGTATGTGACACATTGCATTACAAATGGGTATACAAATATTGTTATAAAAGTATTTTTAACTTTACCATAAATGATTGTCATTATTTAGCACTTTAATCATATTTCAAGTATGAAATTACATAATAGATAAAGAAGTACTTATAAAAAAAGCACTCTAACTTTCAGGTAATTGCACTTAGCCTAATATAAATTTAAACTAATACATTTAATTTCAAATAACATGTCCAAAAATATTAAATCATTTTGCAATGTATTCCTTTCAAGTATATTATGTCCTTATTAAGTACTCTTTTTGAAAGTAGCCTATGCTAAAGTGTACTTCTCAATACAAGGGCATTTATTCTCAACCATTGGCAATGTTTTCATAGAATACATAAATTAACGATCCTTGCTTACTATATTGTCACTCCAAAACTGTGTTTGTAGAATGGGGATGTACTGGATGTCAGTTGTGTAAATTTGAATAAGATAAAAACATGCCACACAACAGTCAGCACGTAATCATGATCCTGACCGAAAGCTGTGGCTGCAGTTATAAAGTAATGAGAGTGGATTAGTTTGAGTCGTGCCAGTGAGGTGTCCTTGAACTGCATAGATTTTTTTTCTAATCTGATGTGTGGGAAGGGGGAGGTTTTTGGCCCTTTATCTGTGCCTCTTACAGATGCCAAAGTGAAAGGCC